TTGATTCTCCGGTTGCTTCTGCCACCGGATCTTCGTATGGTACTCCATTTCTTACAGCGCAGCGTGCCAGGAACAAGGTGTAGATCAGTTGATAGCTCTGCGCCTCTTTTAACACGATCATCCATTACTGAGCGTCTTAGGTCAGACGATACGATTATCAAATCGATCATCGACTTCTTAGCAGAAGCTTTCCGGTAGCAGACGTACTGATGCAGTTTTCGATGCTCGAAGAAGGTGTTCATAATGGACAATCCGTTGTTTGCACAAAAAAGCAACAATTTCATGCCGTTATTGTTGAGGTCGCTAGGGAAGTTTTTCCCAATCACGCCGTTCCACTTTTCAGCGTCTACTCAGACGTGCGCATTAAAATCGCCCATCAGTATGAGGGACTCTGTATTCGGCGCTTCGAACAGAGCACACTGCGCTTCCTCATGGATTGTATCAAACTGTCCCTCCAAATTGGGCGTACAGACCTGTAGTAAGGTCAACGCTTTAGCCTGTTGTTGCTTCGGTCGGAGAATTGCCATCCTGCCGCTGATAGGCTTCCAATCAGTGATTCTGTCGGCGAGGTTTAGTTCTACCGGAACACCAACTCTGGCCGGAGGGCGCGTCGTGATATGGATACCTGAGTGGAACAGCTTCCACCTTCAGAGGTTCAGGATTCCAAAGGCTTAGCGCTTAACTGACGAGAGTCCAACAATTTAGAGTTGGTACCTTATGGCCTCATGAACTAACTCTTGCTCTTTCCTTCTGAGTGAGGATAGATTCGAATTTCTCTCTGTAAGCTCCCACTGGCGGTGTCGTTATCGCAGAGTCCTTTCTGACGTGTTATAATGGCATCGCGCTGTCTGCCTGCTCGGTTCATCGACGAATGAAAGAAGTCATAATTTTCCGGTCCTACGAAAATGTGAACGAGGACGAGGGATACAGACCTTGCACGGATTGGGAAAGCCTTTTTAATTTTGTTTTCGAAAAACGACTTAGCCAGCATCTTCATCTCCTGACGTAACAACAACTGCGGATTAGATAACAGCCAACTGCTTAAGTCAATCCGGAGCACCCTGAAGAAGACGCGCTGAAACATCTATACCAACTGATCACCTGATTAGCCAACTTATTTATCTGTTTTGCGCATAAATAAAACATTTAATACATTCTTCAGGTTCGGTTATAAACAATAATGCACGACAAATTATTGAAAATGCAGTATCGGAGATAAACAAATAAAAAGTTATGTCGCGAGTTCGATATGACCATAAAAGAATCATTACCGCGGAATTCCCCGAATTTGTGGTAGTAACAACAGTTTATAGGCCTGAGGAGCAGGGACTGCCATCAACATAAGAGTCCGTGGCCACAAGCAGAAACGGTATGAACAGTGGAAGTTAAAAGTACGAATCAAAAGACAAACATGCAGGTATACATAATCAAATAGCAAAACAAATACGTTTTCGATTCAACTTATCGGCTTTGTTCACATTCGACTTTGAGTGGCATGTCTCTCACCATCGACTTATTTGAATAAGAAACTAATCATGAAAATGAATATTGATGAAATAAAAACGTTTAGTGACAAGAATAAACAAATGAAACAAAGTGTCAACAGAAAACTATAGAAAACGGCGCTGTCAATTTGCCGTTTCAGTTATACTGTATTTCGATGCGTAAGTCGTTTCTTTTACAGCTGTGACTGTCCCAGCTTTAGAAACGGTTTAAACCGGATTTTCCCTAATTTTCAGATAATTATATTTAATATATCGGATGCCAATTTTCAAAACTGGTTCGTTCTCTTTTATTTTGTAGCT